TATATATATATATATATATATATATATATATATATATTTACATATCTATATGAATACATGAACATATGTATATATTCATATCATATATAATACATATATATATATATAATATATGTGTGTGTGTGTGTGTGTGTGTGTGTGTGTGTGTGTGTGTGTGTGTGTGTGTGTGTGTGTGTGTGTGTGTGTGTGTGTGTGTGTGTGTGTGTGTGTGTGTGTGTGGTGTGTGTGTGTGTGTGTGTGTGTGTGTGTGTGTGTGAGACTGTGAGTGTGTGTGGTGTGTGGCGTGTGTGTATGTGTGTGTATACACACACATACAATACATATATAGAGAAATATATATATATACAATATATATATATATATATATATATATATATATATATAATATGTGTGTGCATATATATATGTATGCACATATTTATATCTCCATATATATTTATTATCCCATCCCCCCTCCATCCATGTAACCCTCTACAAACTTGCACTGTCCACTTTTCCCTCCCCTGAACGCCTAGCTCTTCACCCCACCCCCTCTCTTCACCACCCAGGGTCCTAACACATTCTCGTGCCCGCCCCTAGACCCTTGCCCGCCCCCTCCCATCTCCCCCCCCCCCCTGTTCCTAAATTCTGTGGCTGATAATTCAAGCGACTTAGTAATGATACATGTTCCCTCTTAGTGTGTGTGTGTGTGTGTGTGTGTGTGTGTGTGTGGTGTGTGTATGTATGTATGTATGTATGTTATGTATGTATGTGCGTATGTATGTATGCATGTATGTGCATGCATGTATGCATGTATGTATGTATGTTATGTATGTATGTATGTATGTATGTATGTATGTATGTATGTATGTATGTATATGATCCTGAGTTATATAATACAGATATATTAGTAAGGTACTGTGTATATCATGTCTTGTTATCGTCACGTGCTAATAAAAGTCGTGAATTAAATTATATCATTTTCATGGCAAAATGTGAACCGGGGAAGTCATTCATACTTTGACATTATCTTTCCGCTCAGCATCTAGCATATCATAATGGATTCAAAAGCAAACATGAAGCAAAATTATATTGAGATACAGACCACGCGGAAATGTCTTTCAGCACTTTAAAAGCCTGACAGATCTGTCTGCCTCTGACAAGTTACAAGATTGCATGTCTTTTACAAGAACTTCGGATTTGTATTGTTTGGTCTATATCCGATCAGTCTCCTTGTATACAACTAAATACGAAAATTATATGGTTCGTATTTCTATCTCCGTAAATGTCTTAATTTTACAAGATACTTGACAAGACTATTTGCGGTTTTTTACATGGATCAGCGCTAGNATATATTACCACACAAACACATAAAACTGTTATAAATACCATATATGATTAATAAGTGGAAAAAGTAGAAAAGATGTGGATGAGAATGAACATCACAATACAAATCGACATGAATACGGTTCAATAATGAAATTATAGAACATCACAAAGACAATAACACTAAAAATCATGACATGATGTTGCTAATAACGATAGCAGTAATTAGCAGTAAAGGTAAAAAAATAATAACAGCAGTATCAAAAATAACAAAAGCAACAGATTATACAATCACAATCCTAATAACAACTCCTTTCCGGCAAAGAGAAAGACGCCCTGCACAGACTCCCGAAAGATTTAGACATTTCCTCCCTCCCTCCCCCTCCCTCCCCCCCCCTTCCCGCCACTCTCCCCCTCCCCAAAGAAAAAATCTTTATCGAGCCCCAACCTCCTTAAATTCCTTAAAGAGCGAGGGCGGCGTCGCGAATCACGAACACACATCGTCTGTATCAAAGAGGCTGTTTACATTATTTGTCGCGTGCCAAGGATTTCTGGCACCAACGACCGCGCGGCAGGGAGGAGGTGGCACGGCTTATGGGTGGCGCTCGCGGTCGGGAAGTCCTTCGGGCTCCGTGGCCGCCGCTCTTTCTTTGTGTTCTGTTTTTATTTTTTATATTTTTTATTTGTATTTATTTGATTATTTATTGATTTATTATTATTATTATTTTTTTTTTTTGGGGGGGGGTGTTTTTGTTTTTGTATGAAATGGTGGAGGAGAGTGTAAAAGACCAAAATGCAAACGAGTGGCAATAGCAGGAGAAGAAGAAAAAGAAGGAAAGGAAGAAGGAGGAGAAGAAGGAAATCAAGAAGCAGGAAGAGACGAAGAAGTAAGAAGTAGAAGTGTGTGTGTGCATAAGTAGAAGAAGAAGAAGAAGGAGATGAAGAAGGAGATGAAGAAGAAGAAGTAAAGAAAAAAAGACGAAAATACAGAAAAAGGAGAGGAAGAAGCAAAGAAACGAAAGAGAACGAAAAAAGAAGAATGAAGAAGAAGAAACAGTGAGTGAGTGCGTGGTGGCGTGAGCGGGTGCCGGCGCGGTCCTTTTCGGCGTGTCCGCGCGCACGCGTGACGGGCTGCAATAAGGGCTGTGTGATTACCAGACTCTCGCCAATTAACTTATCGTATAAATCTGTATCTTAGGGTTTTTTTCTTTCTTTTTTTGGAATCCTCCTTTATGTATTAGTTGCCATGTATCAGATTACGCGTTGGTTCTGCATCTGCATGTACACACACACACACGCACACACATATATATCATATATGTAATTAGCTAAATAGATAGATAGAGAAATCTCTCTCTCTCTCTCTCTTCTCTCTCTCTCTCTCTCTCTCTCTCTTCTCTCTCTCTCTCCCTCTTCTCTCTCTCTCTCTCTCTCTCTATATATAATCTATATTATATATATATATTATATATATATATATATATATATATTTTTATTTTTTCAGTCTTTTGAATCCGTTGTTGGACATAGGCCTCTTGTCGGTTTTCCTCGACGCGTGCCACGTGTGTGTGTGTAGATATGCACACATACATTTATATGTGATATATATAGTGAAAAAAAAAAAAAACTGATCCAGCTGCTGCCTAATTTCAACTGAACAGCGCCCTGATTTACCTCCTTTCGCGTCCGTTCTCCTGTCTTCACCTGCCCGTGTTCACCGAGTGGCCTCTCCTTTCTCGTTCTCATGCCCCTCCCTTCTCCTTCACCTTCAGATCTGAAGATGGATTCCAGGAGGATACGAAACTTCTCTCATATATTTCAATACATCTAGTTTGTGCATTGTGTTTTTTTTCTAATATAGTAGCAACACGGTAGAGTGTTTTATGTCACATACGCACACGCACACACACGCACACACGCACACGCACACGCACACGCACCGCACACGCACACGCACACGCACACGCACCACGCACACACACACACACACACACACAACACACACAACACACCAACCACACACACACACACACACACACACAACATACACATACACACATACACACACACAACACACACACACACACACACACACACACACACAACACACACACACACACACACACCACACACACACACACACACACACACACACATACACATACACACCTACACCTACACATTACACACAAAAACACATATATAATATATGTATATATATATATATATATATATATATATATATATATATATATATAATATATATATATATATATATTACATATAATGAATACGTAGATAGATGCATGTACATCCCGGCCCGGAGAGCGGCTCCGCTTCCGCCCGGCGTGCCAGTCGCGGTGCCCGACGGGGGCCTTCGGGGCCGACGGGTCGTCCGCCGATAGTCGTATCTCTCGGCCGTCGTTCTGCGCCGCTATTCTTCCTTCGTGCGCATAAATAAGAGAGAAAAGAGAGAGGAATCTGCGCCTGAATGCCCGATCGATCGCGCGAGGGAAATGGGAGAACGAAAAAAAAGAGGCGGTTATTATGTCTTAAGAAGTCCGGCCTTTGCATGACGGCTGCACGACGGGCGGCGGCGGCGTCGAGGCGGAGGCGGAGCTCGCCGCTTGGGCAGCCGGCGCGAGAGGAGGTGCGCGAGGGAGCTCTGAGTAAGGCTCATCTCGGCCCAGAGATGATCAGGTTTTCTTACTCGATGAAAGGCTCCAGTTCCTTTATTATATACATACATACATACATACATATATATATTATATACACACACACACACACACACACACACAACACACACACACACACACACACACACACACACACACACACACACACACACACACACACACACACACACACACATGTGAACACGTTTGGATCTCGTCTCTAACAACCGCCATGTCTGCTCCTGAGGGTTCCTTTCGTGCGCCGTCTTCGAGCCACTCTTTGGCGCGTCTCCTTTGGCTTTTGCGTTTCCCGAACAGAGCCTGGCGGTCAATTCGTTTTTGGTATTGCTCATTAAATTCTAGATAGACAACTTTTTTTTCAGACGACTTTCAGCTTACACTCCCGTACATTCAAGATAGATTCAGACCACTGAAGCTGCAATCAGATTACTTTTCCTTATTTGTAACTGACATTGAAATCGTCATATAATTCATTGACTAGAAATAATATATTTTTGTATTTTGTGTCTGTATGCTCGATTGTTTTTGTAATTGTCTGTGATTGCATTTTTGTCTTGGTGTGTGTACGATTATCTGCTTGATTATAGGTGTGTGTGTGTGTGTGTGTGTGTGTGCTTTTATGTTTATATGCAAATTAGATATACTAAAGCTGAAATATACGACAGCTGGAACATACAGCAGCTAAAATATACCACAGTTGAATTATACAGCATCATATATACTACAGCTGAAATATACAACAGCTGCAATATACAAATGAAATATACAACAGCTGCAATATACAACTGAAGTATACGGCAGCAGGAATATACTGCAACTGAAATATACATCGGAAACATACTACAGCTGAAATAAACAACTAAGGTATACAACAGCTAGAATTCATAACAGGAACAAAAGCAGACAATTGTAAAGAAGCGGCAGTCGATAAAGGGGGGAGAGAGACAACGAAATCGATGCCGAAGGAGAGGAAACGCTAAAAGAGATGCTAGAGAG